CACGTATGCAGCAGCGAGACATTCGGGTTGCTTGGCACCTCTCAAAGCAGTATCAGCGGTGGGGTTGAGGAAAGAGGGTCAGGAAGCCAGGGTTCCAGTTCTGGTTTCCTAAACTTACAAGCTCTGAAAACCTGAGCCTTTTCTTAACCTCTCTGAAGCCTCAGTTTTCCCATCTGTAAAATGAGGTGCTCATCCTCTATCTTGCAGACTTTTTGGAAGGTTTATGTGGATGTCTTTGGAATTTCTCAGGCTCTAACTGAGGCCCTCTATTCTCCCTGGGTGCCCTCTTCCCTACTGGGTCCCCTGCACCCAGCACAGAGCCAGACACACAGCAGTCAATGAACACTGAGAGAATGAATAAATGATGTGTGTGAAGCAATAACTTGACACATTGTCTGGCACCTAGTAGATGCTCAGTAAGAGGTCAGCTGTCAAGATCAAGCTCAGGCTCTGTAGCAGCATGCTGTATGACTCTGAGCAAGTTACCTTCCTTTTCTGAGCCTCAGTTTCCTCATCTATGAAATGAGGGTTTTTCTTCTAGGTCTAGTGCTCTGTTCAACAAATCACTGGTAAGTGTTATGATATAGGGACTAATTTAAGGCACTTGTTCTTCCTGAAAAGAGATGAGTTAGGGAGAGAAATACATGAGGAGCTGTAGTATAGACAAGGTTCTGCCTTCTCCTCCCTCAGTAGGAAGAGAGGTATATGGATAGGATAAGACTGCTGGGCAGTGGTGGCATCTTTGGGCAGTCTAGGTTAAGCAGCCATGCCCAGCCCAGAAAGTCATGCAGAGATACTTCAGTGGGCATGAGGGCCCATGAAATACCATGCCCCAAACTGGGCTAAAAATGGTCTTGGAGGTAAGAAAATTTGATACTTCCCAGTACCAGGGTGCTCTGGTTTCCACACCAGGCCCTTGCAGTAGAAAGGGCTTGCTGGGTCTCCATATCCATGAGCGTGACAAGCACCACGCTTGGCTTAATGCTCCACTCTGCTGTTGCCACTTTGAAATTTTTAATAATTGTTTAACGCAAGCCCACGTCTTCACTTTTCTTGGAGCTCTGCAAATTATGTAGTTTGTCCTAACTGGAGGGAAGGGCTGAACCCACCTGGTGGGGGGGAAGGGCAGAAGGTAGGTCAGGAAATGCCAGTTGTGCCCTAAAGAGAGGAGTGGTGAGCAGTGTACACTTGATCGTAGCCAAAAGGTCGAGACACGATGGGCGAGCAGTGTGAACACAAGGCTGAGGCAGAGGGAGCCGGGAGTGCAAACCACGGTGGGGCGTGGGTGGTCTGCATGAGTGTGCCAGTGCGTGAGTGCGCCAGTGAGTGTGCCAGTGCGTGAGTGCGCCAGTGAGTGAGTGTGCCAGTGAGTGAGTGCGCCAGTGAGTGCGCCAGTGAGTGAGTGTGCCAGTGAGTGAGTGCGCCAGTGAGTGTGCCAGTGCGTGAGTGTGCCAGTGAGTGAGTGCGGCAGTGCGTGAGTGCGCCAGTGCGTGTGTGCCAGTGCATGAGTGTGCCAGTGCGTGGTGTCGGCAATGCTCGCGAGTGCATGTGGGTGTGTGTTTGTGCATCTGTGAGTGTGGGAGTGCGGCATACATGGGTGTATACGAGTGTGTGTGGTGTGTATGTGTGTTGTTTGTGGTGTGTGAGTGTGGTGTACGTGTGTACAAGTGTGTGTGGTGTGGGTGGGGGAGGTGGTGTCCAGGGCAGGGAGAGTCCCCATATTTATCAAGCACCTTCTCTGTGCCAGGCACTGAGCAAGGCGCTGAGTAATCCCCGGCACCAGCCCAGAGGCGCTCACAGCCCATTAAGGCAGAGAGATGTGTAAACAGATAATCAGAAGGAAAGAGCAGGTTGAAATGAGCCCCCTGATAACAATGCGACCTCTTTACCTACTTCATGGAGGAGGGTCTGAGAAGCTAGATTTCCCCTGACCTGCGGGCAGGGGTGGGGGCGGAATCCAGGAACTGTCCCAGGGGAGGCCACAAGCCAAGCCCCTCCCTCAGGCACACCCAAACACAGGAGGGGTGACCTCCCTTTGACCTGCAAGGCAACACACCCCATCCCACAGAAGCAGATAAGAGGTGACCAGCAGCTCAGGGAAGGGTACAAACAGCCCAGTCCAGTGGCCTCCTCCCCACCCCCACCCCCCAGACCAGGGCACACACGATGGGCACACAAACCCTGGTGAAGAGAGACAGGGCCTGTCTCTGGGTGGGAGTCCATTCAGAGGCCCCTGGGCTGGAGAGTCGGCGGTAAGAGTGACTGGCAGTGGCTAAGGGAGGTGGCTGAGAAAGGCCAGCCCGGGGCGTGTGCTGAGATTCTGAGGTATGGGGGGTGGACAGCAACGCTGGGGAGAAAGACGCCTTGAGTAAGAAACACATCCCTATGGGACGAGAGGAGGGCCCCGCCTCGCCTCCCGGGGGCTGCCTTCTTCCAGGCTCCGCAGCAGGTGTCCTCCCAGCAGAGGCCACCTGCCAGGTGCCCACACAGAGCCGCAGCATGGTGCAGGAGTGCTGGCTTCTGGTCCCTGTTCTCACCTGGTGGGTGCCCTTGGGCCGGCCCCTACCCTCATCGGTGAAATGGGGACCCTGAGTCTCCTCAGGGTTGTGGGGCAGATCCAACGAGATAATGGGATGAGGAAAGCGTCTCATAAACTGGAAAGGGCAGGACGAAGGTCAGTGTGCAGGGCGGCCTGCGGCTGCCTCTCCAGCCCTTTGGCAGAGGATAAGGGGCTTGGCCCCACATTCCCGGCCCTCTGCCCAACACATGCCCTCTACTCCCTCTACTGCGTGCCTCACTGCTAGGATCTCCTTTTCAAAGCTGAAGAAACTGAGGACCAAGGGAGGTGTAACGCGCAAATGTGTCCCAGGTCCCAAAGGCTCATCCCCACTTCTTGGCTAGGTGACTCCAGGAACACTGGGTAACCTCTCTTCAGGGTGTAAGGACCCCCAAGATAATGTGGGTGAAGAAATTAGCACAATGCCTAGTGCATATTAATTCTCAAGAAATGAGATCACTATCAGGGTAAGTAGTTCCAAAGGGTCCCCAGCTAAGTGGCCTGGTCAGCATGAGAGCCGGGTCTGTCTGAGGCTAAACCTGTGTCCTTGCCCACTAACTACCCTCTTTGGCTAACTTGCTCACACTTCAGAAGGGAAATGTAAGAAAAACTTTTCCCAGAATGGCTGCAGAGGATTCTAGGTTTTCTCACGACCCACTGTTTCTTTCAACCAACGTCCCCACTTACTTTCCACTGTTCCTTGTTCCTCCAGAGCAAGCCCCAGTCACAGGCACACACACACATGCACACGGGCACATGTACACATGCACGCGCAACCTTTTGTTCTTCTAGGATCCCTTCTTTACCCACATCTCTTCAGTGAATAATATAGTACTTCCAAGACACTAGAGCAGTATCTCAAACTTAAAAAATGGGTTTTTAATGTGCTGTAAGGAATTTGAAGCCTCAAATTAAAGGAACTTTCCACCTGGAACGTATTCTTCATAAGTAACCCTACATACATCTCTCACCAAGAAGATGTCCTCTCCAAAACTAAGACACATTATTACTGTGGACACAGAATAACAGTCTGGAGTCTGCTGAGGGTTAAGTCAGAAGAGCTCTAGACCAGAAGATCGCAGGAAGGCTGAAGGATAGAACCAAGGTATACCTGTTGAGCCCCACTCTCTGCATCCGTAGAATGGGAACGATACATCTTCTCTCTGCTTGGGATTAAATGAGGCAAATTTGCGCCTCGCACTGTAGCTGGTATAAGACTAGATGTCAACAAAGGTCAGTTTCTTCCTCCATTCTTCCCCACCAAGTGTTCATCTCCATTTTGTTTTGTTTGTTTCCCTTCACAAGATCTGTCTCTGATTTCATGTCAGACATCAAAGCTAGGATTCTTGTTACAGATATTTAGTTTACAGCCAACTTGGCTCAAATGCAAACGCATCCAGACGTGCAATTCTAGACTTCTTAGAAAACATCGGGGCTGGCCAGTTGCTCAGCTGGTGAGAGAGCACGGTGTTACAACAGGGCCAAGGGTTTGGATCCCCTTACTGGCCAGCCACCAAAAGAGAAGAAAATATCAGGTTCAAACCCCAGCCTTACAGGACGCAACAGCCCCAAAGAGGACAGACTATGCCAAGGTCACCAAGCACATGCTGTGGTAGCAAGACAGCCCCATCCTCAGCTTCCTCCACCCACGCCCTTGCTTGCCTGAAGTCTTGTAAATTTTCTTAGTCGTGCTCCCCTCCCAGCCTTCAGCCAACCTGTCTGTAAGCCCAACCCTCCTGCAGCAGGAAGTTCATACCTGCTCTCCTCTGCCCTCAGCCCGGGAGACCCCCTGTCCTCCCCTCCCCCAACCCCATGACCTCATCCAATCCAGAGGCCCACATTTCAGTACACAGGCAGCTGCGACAAAGGTTAGAAAAAGCCTAGAAGGCACTTTATTGGAGGTCTCTGCCTCCACTCACAGGATAAAGGAGCCAGGAGCCCCATCCTGAGGTTTCTGGCATCCACCCCGCCCCTCACTGGCCCAGCGAGGCCTAGGAACAGTCAGTCTGGCCACCAGTGCTCGTTAGGAAAGGAGGGAGGGGAACGTCTTAGAAAAAATAGATCTCTATGTACATCTGACGTATTTATAGTACATAAATTAGGGAGTGCTCTGACCCTTGCCCATAGAGTCCAAGCACTGAGCAGGGAGGTGGCAGAAGCCAGTCCAGAAAGAAGGTGCTGGGGGACCCCCATCCTCTGTCTTGGTGCTCCCCTGGGGCCTCTCCTGGCCTCCTTGGCTCAGTCCAGGCATCTGCAGGAGGGTGTCGTCTGCAGCTGGTATCTGGGATTGGGTCTGAGGATGCGCCAGATGAAAGGAGATGCACTGCAGCTAGAGTCAGCGGATGAGTCGCTTCAAACCCCAGGGCTTGTAATTCCAAGAGGAGAGCAGGGAGGAAAGGCCATAGACCCTGACTCCCAGGACAATGGCCTATGGGCCAACAGTATCCCAGAACTTCAGCTTCTCTCCATTGCAGCAGGGAGTATGTCCAAACAGAGGGGGCCATCTGGCCTGTCTGTTTCCTCCCAGAGTCCATGAGTTTGGTCCCGGGTCCAGCTAAATTCCTCATTTCCGACTCTCGACAACCTCTTCCTCCTTCCAGCCGCTCGAATTTTTTCCAAACTTGTAGACGAGCCGCCGGCCATCCACCCGTTCCAGGATCTCCCGTTTGTAGTAGTACCTGGGTAGAAAGAAGGGTGGTCAGAGGTGCTCAGGCAGAAAACATGGCCTGGACTGCCACCGCCTCCCATCCCATCTGGCCCAGAGTTACCATCGGGTGACCTATCCCCACTGATGTCCAGTCTAAGCTGAGGCTCTCTCTCCTTCCCACCTGCAAGGACAAGCAGTCTTTGTTCTGTCACCACACCAGCCTGTAATTATGTCCAGGGTACCTGGTTCTGCCCTTGCTTCTCTGTATCCTACGGCTGTGTCCTGGGCTGGCTTATCATGAAACCACATGATTGTAGGGCTGGAAGGGACCTTAGAGATGATCTAGTCCACCCTTGTTGTACATAGGAGGAAACCGAGGCCCAAGGCCAAGCAGCTTAATTGCTTCAGTAGGGGGAGAGCCAGGCCTGGGCATGGGCACGGCTCATGCTCTGGTTACCACTCTCCAAGTCTTGCAAGTAGACAAAGAACCGCTGCTGTTAGCCGAAGTTTGCTGCATTTGCTGTGTGCCAGGCTAATACCCTCTCGTGTTACTGTGTAATTTATGAAGCAGGCAGACACTGCTACTGTCCTCACTCACTCTGCAGGACTCAAGCTTGTCGCATGAAGCCGGGTAGTGGTTGGAGAGAGTGCAGCGGGACACAAACAGCCATCCCTGTTCCCTGTCAGGATCAACAGGTCCCCCTGTGGCCAGCTGGGTCCCAGCCACCAGCTCACCTCATGGCCCGGCTCAGCTTCTCGTAGGTCATGTTGCTGTTCTTTTTCTTTTGGCCCCACAGCTGGGCCACAGCCTCGGAGCGCAGGAACTTGAAGACACCCTCGTGCCGGTTCTCCCACTTCATGAGGCCCTCGTTGAGCTCTGGGTGGATGAGGATGTCCCGGATAAACTCCCACAAGTGGGTGCCTCTGGGGGCTACAAGGCCAGATTCCATCAGTCAGTGGTCCAGGTCGTCCCCTTCACCCAAAGCCCTGCCCATCCCAGGGCCGGCCGCGTGGATGCCCCGCTAGACACCCTCCGCCGTGGCCCTGTGCCCGGTGTACTGGCTGCTTCCCTCCCTGCCCCTCCTGTTTGGTGGGAGTCCCAGGAGGACCGGACCTATCTCACCAGGCACAGATGTTCTCCTCACGCAAGTATTGATCAAATGTCTGGCTCCCGGTTTAGTGGGGGCCATGGGGAAAGCAAACACAATAACAGGTGGTAAGAGCTTGGCAAGTACAGGGGTCAGAGAGCTGGCCTCAGCCTGGGGGGTGAGGGGACAGCTTCCTGGGAGAATACCCCCCCTGAGGACAAGGGGCAAACCAGGCCTGATGCATGCACAGCAAGTGATAGAAAGCAGAGCGGCAAGGAAGACCTTCAGGGCAATGTCCCCGCGGTTCTCAGTGGCTGTAGCACACAGTGCCTGAGGCAATGGGGACAGAATGACTTGGTGGCTGGAGGGGCTGCCTCAGAGGCACTTTTCTCTACCTAAAGACACAGCAGCTGCCTCCTCACACCATCAAGGATGTTGCAGCAGGTAAGGACAGTGGCTAAGTACGGAGAAAACTGGAGGAGGTAGGCAGGAAACCTGGACTCTAGTGCCACGCGGCCTCCCTCCAGGAGCCATGGTTTCCCCTGCTCTCCAGGACCACCAAGCCAGGCTCTGCAGTTAGGTGGTGACCAGTACCATGGAGCGCTCCCCACTGTGCATAGCCATTATAAAGGGAGGGAGGGTGGCTATGTGAGGGGCCAGAGAAGGAAGGGGAAAGAACGGCTGCAGCTCAGCAGGAAGCCCTGCTCCTGCCCCGCCTGCCCCAGGAACCCTGGCCTGCAGACCCCAGGAGCTCACCATGTTTGCTCTTCTTGCCCTCCAGACACTCCCAGTACTCTTTGCTCAGCTTCCGGGGTCGACCCCGTTTCCGCTTCCCATGCTTAGGATCCCCTTTCCCCTTCTTGTAGTCAGGAAAGCCATCTATTGCAGAGGGAGCAGGTCAAGAGAGGGCATGGAGGTGTATTTAGGGGGAATAGCCCGTCTACAGGAAAACCCCATGGAAGAGAGAAGGGACGAGGGGAAGAACTGGGCTCCCTGGGTACTGCTGAATGGGACACCCCCTTGGGGCCAGAGCCACCTTCAACTGACCTCTGGGAAAGAGCTTGCTGTCAGTGGGGTCCAGGTCCACATCGCTTCCACCGGAGTCTGAGGAGTGGGAGCTCTGAGAAGTCCCGGTCCCTGGGGGTGGGGTCAGAGTGAGTCCCTTCAGGTCACCCTCTGCTGAACGGGGCTGCAGACTCTCAGGACATGCTGTACAGCAGCTCCTGTTCCTGCCAGAAGGCCCAGTCCAGTGCTGGGAACCAGGGGCTTAGGGGTACTTGGAGGAGAGGGGGGCTGTGGCCCAGACAAGGATCTCACCTGCGGTGGAGACATCAGAGCTGCCAGGGGAGGGGGCTCCTGCGCCGTAGCTGCCGGGGTAGTATGGGCTGGCCTGCCGGCCATCGTCCACCAACTCCTGGGCGAAGGGGCTTCCCTGGTCTGGGAAGAGGAGGTGAAGGCTCAGAGAGGGCTCAGGGGACTGGGCAAGGACAGGTAAGGCTACCCAGAGGTCTGATGACCTGCTCTGTTGGGAAAGGAAGAAGTCTGGGGAGAGGAGTCATCTCTAGCACTCTGGGGAGGGATAGAGATGGGACAAGGACAGGCTGGGGAAGGAGAGAGAAATGGGCTCTCACCAAAGGGGCCTGGGTCTCCTAGGGCTTCCTGGAAGGCCATGCCGTCCTTCTCCAGCAGCTCAATGATCCAGCTGAGCTCGTCAGAAGAGCTGGAAGCTGATGAGGGAGGAAAGAGGGGTCACACTCCCCTTCCCCACTCACTGGGGGCTCTCCCGGCTGTGCCCTCGAGCCCCTCCCACGGCCAGGCTACACTCAGCTCAGGATGAGGAGCCGATCCTCCCCCACTCCAACCCGGGGTTCCCAGTGGCCCGACTCACTGAGGTCCCGCAGCTGGGCATGAAGTTGGTCCCCCAGAGGACCAAAGACCAGTCGCAGCTCCTCCAGGGCACAGCTGCAGAGAGTGGCCCCGTCCATGTCACACCGCGAGAAGTCGATGGAGCTGGCGTCATACTTGTTCTTCTCCACCTGGTAGCTGATCCAGTCCAGAACCTGGGCCTTTGACCAGAACTGGGGCTGCTCCCCCAACCAGCTGGCCTTCTCTGCAAGGCACCAAGCACAGCGACAGGGTCAGCGCAGACCCTCGCAGCCCCATTTCTGGCATGTATTCCCACCTTGTCCTGCAGAGAGCCCTTCTAGGAAAAAGGGCAGGAGGTGGTATTTATAACACCCTGTCCTGGTACCTCCTAGACTGTCACAGTCCTCTCAGCCATTCAGTCTCCTCAGTTATCCCAGCCCTGGAACTAGATTGGAGATCCCCCTCGCCGTCCATTCCCCAATTTATCTAACAGGTTCTTAGATGGGCCCATCTCCTCCCCCTAAATGCACCCCATCCCATCCTGTGAGACCCACCTGTGCCCTCCAGCGACACCTGGGGGTTGGTCAGGGTCAGCACCAAGTCATCGGCCCCAAACGTGGGAGGAGGGGGAACAGAGGCGAGGGTGGGGTCCTCTGAGCTGTACATGGCACTGAAGTAGTTGCTGAAAACGTTGCTGATCTCACAGGTTGCAGCCATGAGGCTACCTGGGGAGAGGGGACCAGGTTGGTGAGCGGGCCAGGGTCCTCCCCTTACACTCTCAGGTATGCTGCTCTGGCCCACCTGGGCCAGAATAGTCCCAAGGGGCAGGAAAGTTAAGTCTCTGCAGACACCCCATTTTATTTTTTTGTCCTTTTTTTGAGACCGGCCGCACCGCGCTCAGCCAGTGAGCGCTGTGAGCACACCGGTCATCCCTATATAGGATCCGAACCCACGGCGGGAGCGCCACTGCACTCCCAGCGCCGCACTCTCCCGAGTGCGCCACGGGCTCTGCCCAGACACCCCATTTTAAAGAGGAGCTCCAGATGTCAGAGCAAAGTGGGGTCACAAGACCCTCCTGCTAGGACTGCATTCTTGGATCCCGAGTCCTTGAGCCGGACTAGCAGAGTCACAGCCACCCTATCCCTCCCAGGGACAATCTCTCCGCTCCCTGACCCTCATACAGCTTCCCCCAGCCCCCAACCCCTCCCTTGCCCTATACTCCTGCTTGGAGATTCTGGACTGGAGTGGGCCAGTTCAGAATTGCAAATCCACTAGACCCCTCCCCAGTTTCCCAAGGCTCCGGCTAGGGAACACAACAGGTGGAGGTCCTACCTGATGGCGGGGTACGGACGTGGCAGGCAGGTGGACTTAAGAGGCAGCAGGCAGGAGAGAAATCCAGGCGGAAAGAAGCTCCGCCAGGTGCGCTAAGGTGTCTGGTCACCCGGATCCCCTACCCCGCCCTAAATAGAGCCTTGCAGGAGCTCCTCCCCACACCCAGGCCTTTATAGTGTGTCCTCGGCGGTAACCTGAGCTGGTGGCTCATTGGATGGAGGGGATTTCCTGGCCTTTAGACTGAGCTCTAGGCCCCAGGTGATTTGCATATTCTGTGCCACTTGGCCTGGATCCTGGCAGGCGGTGCTGGGAAATCAGGCCCGGCTGGTTTAATGATTGTCAGAATCTGTCATCCCGCACCCTCTGGGGTTGGGCACAGGGCACTGGCCTAGGCAGGTGGCGGGAACATCGCCGGGGTGGGCATTTGTGCTTTCGACCGCCCTCTGGCTTGGGAAATTCCCCCCGGGAGCCAGGCCAGGGATGGGCTAGGAAGGAAGGGCAAGTGGGGGAACCTGAACCCCTGGCTGAACTAGGTCAGAAAGGCTGTTGCCCCTAAATGTCCAGAGATTTGGGGACAAAAGGGACCTAGTAGGGAGAAAAGTTACTGAGGTTTAGGGATTTTTCCCACAACACCTAGGATTCTGGGCACGGATGGGAGGATCTTCAGGCTCAACACTAGGCAGTACCCACGGGCTACGGGTCACGGCCAGGACCGCCAGCCTGGCCATAGGGCCCATTTGCTGGCATCTACTTTGTTGGCAAGGTCTTGGCACTCTGCCAGCTTGGACCCCATCCAAGCATCAAGGTTGCTATAGCCACTCCTGGAGAGACCTGGCTCTACTTAAAAGTTCTTCCCTCAGCACCTGATGGAGCCCTCCCTGACTAGGTGCAGCTGGAGGTGCTGGAATCCTCATGGACGTGTTTATTCCTCTCTGGTTCCCGTAGAATCTCTGGATCACTCGCCCAGTTTTTCCAGTACTTGTCTGCTGCCCTCTAGTGGTCAGAAGCCTGACTGCCTGAGTCATGCCATTCGAAGAAGAAAACGGAACGCATAGTATTAGTTCACTATTTACCAAGCACCTTTTAATATAGCCTCTCATTTAATCCTCGCACAAAAAAAATCCTGTAAAGAATGCAGTTATCCCCATTTTATAGGTGAGAAAATTGCAGCTCTGAGGGTTGAATGGCTTGGCCAGGTCATATGAAGTTAGTTAAGTGCTGGGGCTAAGATTTAAATCCCCCCTCATGCTTTCCCTGTACCATATGTAGTACTGGCCAGCCACCAGAAAAAAAAAAAAAGGGTCTTCTGGCTTCAGAGACCTCTCTTTCAGCTCCATGGCTGAAGCTCTTGCCTCACTGTGGACAGAGTGAGTCCCCAAACACAACAGACTGTGTCCTATAGACCCAACCTCAAGACCCTAACACAGGGTGGTGAGGAGCAGACAGGGGACGTGCCTTCTAGAGCCTGCAACTATGTGATAGACACTTGGATTCTGCACTTCAGTTTCCTCCATCTGTAAATATGAGGTTGTCTGGATTTAATAATTCCTAAGATCTCTTCCTGAACTAGTTTTTTTATGCATCTAAAATGTATGTGTCTCACTCCCCCCCACCTCCTTCATTAACACAACCCCAGGCGGTTATGGCCATGCTCAGCCCTGATGGGTGAAATGGTTACTCCAACAAAACGTGATTCCACCTCCAGAGAAACCTTGTTTTTTAACTCAATAGCCAGAGGACTAAGCCAGTCCATCTCAGAGAATCTGCTTCTCATCTTCCTTATCTCTGAAACTACTGGGTGCCTAGGAGACAGGGTTAATTAATGTCCAGGGTCTCCTGCACTGGGCCAAGGTTGGCAGGAGAGCCTGGGGCTCTGGGTAGGATTTTCCCCAGCCCTTCAGGGGCCTCCTCCAAGGAGACTGAGGCAGGCACACCCTCTACCCAGACACTCACCCTGGAATGCAGGGGAACCGGCTTCTAGCCCCAGGGCTGCTCACGTGCCCTGCCCTGAAGAGCACCTGGCTGAGGCTGAGGAGGGGGATGTGTGAATAATGAGGCTATCAGCTCCCTTGCCTTCAAGGGGCTTCTTCACAGGAGAAATAGAGCTGAGATAGGAATTCCTACAGGCCAGCCTGTTACTTACCTCCAAGTATTAATGCCTTCAATAGAGAGCCAAGTGAGGAAGAGCAGTGGGAAAGCTTTGGATTTGAGGTCAGTGCCTTGCAGGGACGGGGATGGGGGTGGGAAGAAGGTTCCAGGATGGTGGTCAGAGGAGCTATGGAGCAGGAGGCCAGGGTCTTCCCAACACCCTGTGATGGCAAGAACAGCCCACTGACCTTCCCCACAGAGCTGCCCAGACAGTGGCACAGCCTCAGCTCCTGCCTATGAAAAGACAGGCACATCCAGTAGCACAGGGGGTGGGCAAGGC